ACAAGGAAATGCCAGCACCAAAAAGAAAGGACTTTCACGCTTCAGGACGGCTCTGGCAGCTTTGCGATCCAGTGGACGGAGAAAGTTCCATCCTGATTCCAAGCTCATTGAGGCTCCCACTCGATGTCCTCGTTTGCGAGCCGTCTGCGCAACTCGCTCCGTGTTTGTGTAGACCTCAGTGACAAAGGTCTTGGGGAAGCGGTCATTCTCAACAAGGTCGGGGTTCTTTGAAATCAACCTATTCTCAGACATGGCATGGGACTGAAAAGACTTCTCATCGCCAACGGTGAGGGTGGTGACAAAGATCTCGTTCTGGAAGTGGTCCATCGCTCGATGCCACTGCTCCTCATAGACTTCATTCACTTCCTTGGCACTGAGCGACACAAGGCGACGGTCTCTTTCATGACGCTCCCAAGCATCCGAAATCATTTTAGCCTGACCAGGTTTCACCGCCTGATGTATCCTCCAAGGATTCGTCTCCAGCTCGAGCATCGGTCTCACTGGTCGCGAGGAGGAATTCCATTGGCCTGGCGCCACTCCAAGTCGTCCTGGTAGTAGTCGCGGTTCATCTGTTGAATCTCGTCTTGGGTCCAGCCGAAGTCCATGGTTGCTTCGGTTTCCATCGGACCGGAAGCCATAGGTCCTGGCAGGTGCGATGCTTGGTGCAGGGTCGAAATGCTCTGGAGCACTTGGTTCAGCATCCCTTGGAACTTGTGGTCCTGCATGGTGAGGACTTCCTGTAGCTCTTGAGCGGTCACTCCAGGAGATGCCTTGGCCTTTGCGCCAATTGTCTCGGGCGCTTGAGAAGGTCTCGCCATTGACGTCTCGGGGACATGTCTTTCCGTTGAACTGGTAGATCCACTTGCCTTCGAGGGAGTTGGCTTTTGAGCAATCTCGGCAACCAAGGGGCGGCAAGCTTTCTTGAGATCTTCCACAGTCATTCCAGCCTGGACGGGGATGTTCAGGAGTGAAGCCAGTTTCACCAGGTCTGCCTTCAACGTTGGCAGGCCTCCCTTTGGGCCGATGAGGGAGCGCACCATGTCGTGCTTCTCTCCACGCTTGGTAGCGGCCTCGGCTTCGAGTTGGGCTTCCTGAATGGCATCCCGCTTCAATTGGGCCGTCAGGCCTTTGCTGGCGCGCGCCGCAAGCATTCCTTGCAACATGTTGTCCTCCATGAAGGCGAAGTTGAGGCCAGCACGGTTCCTGAATTGTCCCAAGTCCAGGAGGTTCTTGGTCGTGTACACTGACGGTTCTTGGGTTCGAGCTCGCTGCCAGTGCTTGACCATCAATGCCTTTGGCTTCTGGAGGGTCATAGATTCGGCTTGTTCTTGCCAATGTCTGGTATGGCTGATGCTGGGGTACGGAAAGGGCGCGTACCGCAGCTGCGGACGAGGCAACAGCCACAAGAGCAAGCCATGTGCGTGCCAAGCGGCCTTTGCGCGAAGGCGGAGAAGCATTCGCCGCCAGCGCAGCACCACCTTCGTGTAGTCGTTCTCGGTCAGGTCGAAGTCGAAGTGCTGGGCCGCTTCCATTACGATCCACAGATCCTGCGAGGTCTCGAAAGGTCGTCGAAGAGGATGTCGTCGGGGCTGAAGGACGTGTTTGAGCCACCTTCATAGCTTGAGCCCCGGCCGATGTCGCAGCAAGGATCGCATGCTCTGTCACAAGGTGCTCATGCGGTGCTTCGGAGGTTGACTCAAAAGGCACTTCAAAATGACTCATCTTCAATTGCAACTGTTTCTTCCAAAAATCAAAACTGTTCAACTGAAGTTCAACTATGCCGTCTTGTCCAAGTTTCCGCCAGCGTTGGGAGTCCGGACGAGGCCATTGGCGTGGCTGGAGTGGAAGGGCGAAGTGGCCTGCGGCCAGCTGACCCAACTCCAAAAGTTCGCCACCCACCAAGTCAGCTCTCAGTAGCTTGCGGCCGAACGAAAGGACCGCACCGATAGCGCTCAAAAAGTCTCTTCCCAAAAGGAGTCCCAACGATGGCACTGGCACTATTGACACCCACACCAAAACCAAAGTCGAACCCAGGGCCATAGGGAGTCTGTACCTCACGGTGCTTCTTTGGGTACCACCATTTCCAAACCTGAACAACTCATTCTCGGGGGTGGTGATGATGAGGTTCTGGATATAGGAAGGAGCACGTTCGAGGGCTTGGAGGTAGAAGGCCAACCATGAGGAACCTGCACATGTTCTATTGCAAGCACTATCCAAAGCTCCAACGAATCTCTTGTCTTGTGCGAGACGTGGAGTGCTCTTGGGGTCGGTATGGTGTTGCATGAGGACTTCGAACAATGGGCGATCCCATGAATCGCCGGCGGCCACTGTCATGACCTCGTGGCCCATGTCATCAGGTTCTTCAGGAGCCACATGTTCAGTGTTCAGGGTCTCGGTGACACGGACCTGCTTCGTCATCTGGCTCTTAGGCTTTCCTTTGGGTCGAGCCAGGCCAGCACCAGGGGCCTTGCAGCCTGCATCACCAGCCCAGTGTCCCATCTCACCACAGTCGAAGCACTTTGTAGTGCTCTTTTGGCGAGGGACTTGATTGCCATGGGGCTTCGTCGAACGAGGAGCCGGTTGGCCAGGCTTTCCATATCCACGGTCTTTCTTGACCTCAGCTATTTTGGTGCGTGCTTCACGCATGGTCAACAGACTCTCTGCGGCCTGTTCCATGCCGCTCTCCAAATCTTCAAGCACTCGAGGGTCGCAACCTTCAGTCTCGAGCTCCTGCAGCTCTTGGGCAAGAAGCTCAGCTTCGGTCTGGAGGACTTCTTCGATCGTCGGGTTCTCAGGAGAGTAACCCTGACCATCATCGTCTGGAATCAGCTCTTCATCTTCCGCCTCCATCTGGCCTTCCTCTTCAGGGGCCTCGGCAATCAAGGCTTGTCGAGGTTGAGGCTGCTGGCCAAAACGCTTGAAAGGTGGCCGGCTGGAACCAGAGCTCTGAGTCCGGAAGGAGCGAGAAGAGGGAGCCGTCGAGCTGGCTGTAGTCGAAGGCCTGTAGGACGAAGAGGAGCTGTGTCTGTCATGAGACTGTAGGAAACGCTGGAGTAGTGGTGCCTTTTCAAAAGGTCTGCTCTTGTTCAAAGGGTCGGAGGAGTGCAAATCTCGAAACAGACGAAGGCATTCTGATTCGACCACATCATAGTTCTCCCGACCTGCCAATGCTGTCTCCAACAACTGCTTCCTGATTGCATCCAGTCCCAAACGTTCTTTCAACATCCAGCCTAACTCCTCCTCCGGCATCACTATGCCTTCCCGCTTGAGCTCAGCTGCAAGGGTCCGGAATCTCGTGCAAAATGCTGAGATTCTCTCTCCAGGGCTGCGTTTGATTTCTTGATAGTAAAGGGATCGGAGTTCTCCCTTTCTATCCAAAGCTGTCTTCCCAACCGTGGCCTCCAAGGCAGTCATGAGTTTCTTGAGGCCAGCAAAAGGGTCTGCAGCAACCCGAATCACCTTGTCGCCGGTGTCAGGATCGGTCATGGCTTCTTCCTTGGTCCCTTCAAGATCCTGGGGATCGAATTCTTCACAACGAGCCCTGACCACACCATATTGTCTAAGTGCCCATCGGGCGGCAACATTGAACTTCTTGCAGGATTCTTCATCCAGCGAAGCCATCCACCAGTTCATCTCCCGGCGGAACTGTCGCCATTCCGCCGGGTTGCCCGACCACGTCGGCACCCGGTACCAAGAGCTGGTGCCGGATTCTTCGGCTGAAGTCATCTTCACGGCCAAGATGGCCAAAAACAAAAGTGAGGCTGCTGCAAGGTGTTCAAGGAGCTCCGCAAGTTCTGAAGCTCTCCAAAGAAAAGGTGGTCTTAGACCGAAAGTGAAGTTGCGCAACGATGGTAGGGCCCAAAGCAAAAGGAGGGTCTATGTACCCCCAAAGGTCACTCCAACAAGGCACTGCTCGGCGGCAAGGGCACAGTGAAGTGGTTCAAGAAAAAGGTGTCCACAAACAAGAGAATCTAGTTATTCTCAAAAGGTTGGCACCGACCACGAAGTCCAGAGCGTCTGGCTCGAGGTCGTGTGGAGCAGCCCAGAAGCTTAGCTTGAAGGCCACGAAGACGAGGGGAAACGAGGCAAAGCGAGGCGAAGCAAAGCAAGCAAAGGCGGAGTGCAATGCCCAGATCGAGATAGGCTCCGGTGCCACTGTAGACGCACTAGCAAGAGCGTCTGCCAGCGCGCCGTTTTCACCTAAGGCGCAGCACGAAATGGCTTCAGGCCTTGATCCAAGCGAACATGAACAACCATGTTCCTCCGCCTGCCCAACACCGAAGAGCAAACTCAACTTTCACAATTTATATACAGCGCTGTTTCTCGTTTGAGTCTGTTCGGTGGGTTGATGGACGAAGACCATCGGATGCCATCTCTTTGGTTGATTGCAATGGATTGGGAATCTGCAAGTCGTATCTCTTTTGGGTGAGACAACGAACCAAACCACTCCATAGACTACTCCATAGATATCCATATAGTGATGAGGCACCAACAGAACCGACCAACCGGAATATCACACAGTTCCCAGGTGGCTCCCAGTCGTGGAGTTGGTCTATGGGATGGGCGATCATCAATCTTGCCCACAAGGTAGACCAGGGATGACCAGCGCATCATTGATCTGGTCTACCCATGTCATGATCATTGTTTCTGGAGGACAATGATCAGAAACCACCCATCTTCCTGGAAACAATTGCCGAGACCGAGGAAGCACCTCTCCAACCAAGTCTGCTTGTCAGTCTTGTCAGTGTCACAAATGGAGGACTATCTTGTCTAACCTTATACGTTTTTGTGGAAATCCTAAGTTTCACCGCCTAGACCATGAATCCACAGACCCTTGTCATCAATCTACTCAAATAATCTTAAACATGTGTATACAATTGTACACATCTGTGTGTATATATAAAACAAGGTGGAGAAGAATGCCTTAACTTGTACACAGTGACCGCAAGGTTTGTAGATTGGTACTGAGTTTCGACAAGTGCAATCCACCGCCCAGCTGCACTGGCGGCAGACCAGCACAGGGGATTGGAGCGCAGCAGGCGCTTCGCAGTAGGTGCACTCCGGGTGTCGCTTCCTGACAAAGGATCGCACCTGAGAGAGTCCTATATAACGAACTTGTAGCGCCACCTACCAGCTTGAGAATCGTCTTCCAAATGGCTCAAACGGTCCCTTATCAGCGACTCAACGACATCTTACTTCATATGAGCAATGACACACTAGTACTAACACCATACGGGATTCAAAAGGTATGACAGACCCGCCTAGTGAAACTGGTGCTTTTATGTGCTTTTCCTGGTCGCCTTGCTGGTCTTTGGGAGTGAGGCAAAAAGAAAACGGAGTCCACCGATTCTCAGTCCATTTCCGCCGACTCGAAGCTTAAGACGCCGTTAAACAAGGACACCCAGATCCTCGACCAGCGTATGCCGACAAAAACAGGTCCTGCATGATTCGCGACACAAGCGATGACCTTCCCAACATTTAGGCATCGAGCCTGGCGCTCTGCAGGGCTTGAGCAGTGAGCAGCACCCGGGAAAAGGAGGAGGGTGGTGGCTTTTGATTTTATTGCAAGACAAACGCCTCGCATAGACTGAGTCTTCCAACGCGAGGAGTGCGAATGGATTGCTTGCTGATGGCGTCCTTGATCGCCAACATCACTAAAAACGGTCTTCATTGTACTACGATGATACTGTAATTGCTGATCTTCCCTCTCCTGCACGGCCAAATCAAGAGCGGCACGATCTACAGTACATTTTAAAGCTCAAAAAGGGAGATCTTGTCCAGTCAGAATCTGGCTAAAAGCCTTTTGGGGTATGCCCCCACCACACACGCCCAGAAGGGAAACAAAGGTCAAGGACAAAGCCAGCCTTGGACCTTGGACACTGAACATCACTCGGTCTCTCCTCGTTCGGCGTAGAGTGCAATCCAGTCGGGCAAGTAGGGCCACAAGTCTCGCTTCACCTGGCAGTGGGCAAGGATCATGTTTCAAACAATCATGCATGGACAAATTACGCAAATCAATTGCACGCCCTCAGCCCAGTTAGCGGACTCAGGTTCGCCTAAAGACACAAAACGGATCAAGGACAACAAGTAAGAATTGAGAGTGCGACATAGTGCTACAAAAGTGACAGTTTGGTTGACTGGAAGTGCAAACCTTTAGTCTTCGAGTTTCTAGTTACCCCCCCAACCAATGCATTGGTTGCCTACTATTTGTCCTCTTCCCAGGGTTCTCCCTATTAGGACACACAGTGAGTCATCGGTTGTGGTTGTTTGCGTGTGAAGAATCACGCATATGCAGACTGGACAGAAGAACACCAGGCACCGCTACGCACTGGGCCCTGGATTTGAATGCAAAGAATGACAAATACTTCTACCTACTTAGTTGCTCCTGGTAGCGATGCCAGGAGCCCCTAATAGCTTCTTGTTCCTAGTAGTAAGGCCAGGAGCCCCTAGTAGCGTCCTTGCTCCTATCCAAAGGTTTTCTCAAGGTTGCCCTCCTTTACAGATCTTAGAAGCTCCAGAGTGTGGACATCAAACAATCTGCTTTCAGCCCGGAGTACGTCTCTAAAAACAAATTAGAATTCTGAGTATGATCTAATCTCTTAAACCTTGCAACTCTGACTAATAGATAGACCAAACACCGACTATATAATTTGGTATCCTATTTTACTGAAAAGCCATACAGTCCTCTTCCCACTCCGTCCGTAAAGGCCGGGAGAAAGCAGCTACACGAGCACCCTCCGTTCGGTCGCTTTGCGACTCAGTCGAACGGACCGGCACCAAGTGGCCAGCGGCGTCTTGGATGTGCAGCGGCCCAGCTTCAATTGTGCAGTCCTGCGGCGTTCATGGACGATACCTGCTGAGATGCATATTCTTATGGATTGCATATTCTGGATGAGGTGTCTACTTCAGGAATGAAGTTTGTCCATATGGATCAGCCGCGGTCGAATCACGGATACTCCGTTTCGCGTTGCCCGTTTGGGACGGCCCATTTATCGCAGCTAAACAGCTTTGGACGCTGGGATTTCGACCGAGTGAAGTGACATCCGTCTCGACAGCGGAATTCGAAGGGGAAGGAGGTGAAAATACTTTGGAACCTTCAAGAAGAAAAACTTGGGTGCCTAGTATGTCCTAGTGGTGCATGTGGTTCAGGATGCCATCCGGAAGCTCCAGAACACCGTTAAAAAAAGAACGTGGTTGTCCTTATGTCGCCTAGTAACTAGTGCAGGATTCCTTTAGTCACAGTGGTACCATTCCCCGACCCGAGCATGCATGATACATGCATCAAGCTTCAATCACTTCCAGAATATGACCAAATCTATTGGATTGTGCCCACAGGATAGGGTCAAGGACGCTACTAGGGGCTCCTGGCCTTACTACTAGTTAGGAACAAGAAGCTATTCGGGGCTCCTGGCATCACTACTAGGAGCAACTAAGCAACTAGCTGCAAGTTAAGTGTGATGTGGGCTGGCTCCATGTCTTGCCATGAGCAGTTCAACTACATCATCAGAAAAGGGAGTCTCGGAGTCGGGTTTCATTTGGCCTATATACACAGCAAAGAGATTAAACACTGCTGATGGACGCACAGCAAAGCACGAAAAGATTACCAATTCTTGTCTGGTCCCCGAAAAAGGAATCTGTCCCGGCATCACCTGCAACATGTTTTGAAACTGGAATGACTTTGCACATGTTCGGGCTTCTCCTCTTCACCATTGCTCCAGCGCGCGGCGCACGTTTTGTTGCACGCGATGTTTGTGTCTTTCAAAATGTCATCTTCCGTTGAACCTCTTGGAATGGCACAAAAAGGTTGTGCATGAAGTCCTATGATTGAATGCTGCAGAGTTTGCATTTGTCAAATCGTCCGTGTGCGTGCGCACAGTCCATTTCAGTCCATTTCATGCATCAGGTATGACTGTCACGCTTTCGTGTGTCAGCAAGGGGTGTAGTCTGGAACAAGTACAGTAATCAGTAATCACATTCCTTTAGAGCTGACCTGTATTGAATGCCAACCACTCCTTACATGTAGATATGTGTAGGTTCCATGATCTGCTTGTGCCTGGATTGAACGTTGGAACATTGATTTGGCTGCAGGTTTTCTTCTTTCCACGATTTGATTTCGCCAACCGTTTGATTTCCATGAAGTCAAACACCTCCTCACAAAGACAGCAGCGCTGGTGTGATGTTGGACACGGCGCAAGCAAAGTCATCGATCAATTGAACACCCAAACCTTGCTGGAGTGTCCTCTATCAGCGACCCCTAGCCACGCTGGAATTGACAGGCAACAAGTCCAATGTCACACGGGCTTAAGATGAAGGCTAGTGGAACTGCCGGTCAGCTCACAACTAATGGAATAGCGGTCCATAAAGTTGGGGATTGCAGGATATAACCTCTTTTCTCATGGCTCTTCGGCGACCAACTTCGTCCCAGTTTCCCAGGTCGGCAGCGAAGAATTGAAAAGGTCAGACTCTCAGAAAATGCCATGCATCTGAGGCACAGTCAGACAAATCAGTTCTTTTTCAACAAACCTTAATAACCTCCACCCATGACGTCCACTCGACGTGAGATGATCTCAGAATTGCCACGTCCACCGCTCGGCACCGTCCACTCGGATTGCCGCACGGGACAATGAGCGATTGAAACGCCGATGCATTTGGCAGGCCTCGGGACAACGCGGAATGGGAGGCGTTGGTGGCGCACGCTGAAATGACTTTGGGGAACTGGAGTTATTTCTGAAGAACCGTCAAGTGCTGTGATCTCTGGTGCTGACCTTAGAGTCAAGCCCGTTGCAATCGTTCCCGAAAGCTCCCCCAAAGCTCATAGTGGGACTACATACAATGCACATGTTGCCTGACGAAGGTATTTGTTGAACCTGTGATAACTGTCCAATTCAGCCAAGCAATACCCAACAACCAAGCTCAAGGGGTGGAATCATCCCAGCAACAGACAATCAACAGGACTGGCCTTTTTCTTATCAGCAAATTACAACCGTTGTCAATTAAGTAAAGACCATTTTGGGAAGATTGAAGTTGCTGGGTCCTGTCACCGACTTCACAACCAATCTACAACGAGTACTTCGCCAAGTAATCACATTCAGCTGAGCTCCCTCACATCACTTTGACAAGTACTGGAAGGAATGAGCAAGTTGCCGCTACCTCCGTGTCAGCGAGCGGAAGAAAACGCCGGGCCCCAGGGGGCCCCAGTACCGAGAGGATGCTATGCACTCGCGATGTGAGAAGGAGCAAGGACACACATTGCAAAGAAGCGAAAGTAAATTTGATGCTTCGATTTCGTGAGCAAACTCAAGTACACCTGATGCTTCTGTCCTCTAGAACAGTAACAGGGAAGTGCACAGCAGCAAGCATGTGCAAATTATATAGAAAAAACAGACTGAACAAATCGCTTTGGAGAAGGGATGACCAACCACTTCGCAACATCCCAGCTAATTCTCCCCACACTCCGCCGCACACCGGCCTGTGTCGAAGACCACCTCAAACTCTTGCGGTGGATTCCTGCGGGTGAAGGGGAGACATCACCCCAACCGGACAGTGGGGAGGAGGTTTGGCTCCAACTGACCATCCTGCTTTTGTTTCTTGCAACTCTGGTCCATCATTTGCAAAGAATGGGAAGTGGCCTGAAACACTTGGGGTGGAGAGAGCCATGTTGTGAGACATTCATCCTGGAATCCTGGATTCTTCCTGACCCATCTGTTCCCGGCCCTGAACAGCTTGTGATCGTTGCTTCCAACGCTTCCGCCGATCCCTGGATCCCGCAGTCCCAACATGGAGGATGCCAAAGTACTCGCTGGCTTGCGAGCCCTTGGGATGGGTCTCCGGCTGAGCCGGTCGAGAAGAAAAACCGGTCTGTGCTTGTCATCCAGAGGGAGTGATTTGGACACATGTGGAAACATCATGTGGAAACTCCTATTCCAGGCGCTAAAAATATCACACCAGGATCACCATTGGAGGCTTCTAGGAGAGTCATATGTCCACCGCCCTGCCAACTACCAAGTTTATACCCTACAGCACTCGGCCAGTTCAAGTCTGGCAAACTGCAATTGCATGTGCTGGAGTGAAGCAGCATGATGTCGAAGCCAAGAAGCATGTTACATCGCCGATGTTGAAAGGAGATCGCTGAAGACAGGCTTTGATATGGTGTGACAAGCTAGATCTTTGAAGGATCAATGGGGTGCTTCGATAAAGAGTCTGATCTAACGGATGCAAAATTCTGTCATACGAGCTTCATGAGGTAAACTCTTGTTGAAAGCTTCCATTCCTAAAGACATGGAAAGACTCATAAGAATTCTTGAATCCACACCAGTGCCGGGAGGACCCGGATTCTCACTGTTTTGCTCCAAGCCACTGCGCTGACCCGAGCTGGTGCGGCCACGCGCCGCAACCTGGCAAGCAACGAAGGCCTAGTCGTTGCCGGGAGGTGATTCCTCTGGGCGTTTTCAATTGTTTTCAATGGTTTTCAAGTAATTCTCTCACAAGGGTGACAATCCTACTGACAAATCACCCTAATTGTGGGCTCGGCCCAAATCTTTGTGGTCATTCCACGTGTGACAGGACGTCGTATTTTTGCATGTCAGGCGGTGAAAAAGCATCCTCTGATATCCTCTGACCAGTCCCAAACAAGTCCTTGTCCTCATTTGCGTTTTTGGCTCTTGACTGCGATCTGCATCAACCAATAGCGATGGCCTCCAACCTATATAATAGCAAAAGAAATTTAACCTAATAGAGATGGCCTCCACCTATTGGCTTTTGGGAGGATCATTCAGTGGAGCCTCTCATTTCACCATCAGAACCGACTCGCTGATGGCCTGCTCCGCGTCGTGCGCGACTGCGCTGCAGCACGCGAGACTGCGCTGCTGCGCTGTGAAAGGCTCACAGCCTGGCGAGAGCTGACACCACTCACCGCGCTGGGTGAGATGTTTGTTTTGATAATGCACAATCACATCAATCCCTCACAGGCAACTTTAGAAGTGTCAAGTTGAGGCAGTTAAGGTGCTTTGGACAAGCCAATAAGAAGCAGGGCCCTCCATGGAACTCCTGGGAGTTGATCCCGCAGGCGGGGCGACCAATCCGGGTGGATATGTTCGAAAACCAAACGCTGGCTTGAGGCAGCGTCCGCTTTCTGAACTCAATGTCAGTTTTGTGAAGAAAATGCTAATGTTGAAAGACAAATACCCCTGGCTGTGAGGTACCTGAAATCTCAGTCTTCCTCAGTCTTCGTGTAGCAGCTTGGCACTTAAGCGCACATTGCCATTTTTTGGTCTCACTGGCCAAGGGTGAGCTGGCCAGTCGCTAATCAGGCACGGGTCTTCGGTCACCGGCGAAGGCCTCAGATGGGCAGTGGGCTATGTCTGGATATGGAGCTGAGTAACCACAGTAGTTCCAACTCCTTGTCAGCTAATCATCTCCATTACTGGTCACAAAGCTTCGTACTGGAGCTAAGACTGAGGAGAAAACGGAGGAGAGCGACGGGGGAGCGTTCAAGATGCCCAAGCAAGGATGCTACTAGTAGCTCCTGGCATCGCATGGCATCGCTGCTAGTAACAAGAAGCTTTCGGGGGCACATCACTTCAGCACCGAGACAGGTTCTTGTTACTAGTAGCGATGCCAAAAGCTACTAGTAGCATCCTTGCTCCTAGTAGAGATGCCCTTTGTTCCTAGTAGCTTCTTGTTCAATCCACAAAAGACGCGAATGAGATGCGTTCTTCAAAAGAATACAACGCATTTCATCGCATGATCGCACGGTGGATCCAACACAGGATCGAAACATATCGAAACCAACAAACCCGCTCAGATTAGTCTTGGTTTGGTCTATAATGTGTCCTTTGGCCACTGGGTCTCCGGGATATACCCTTTGCCCTTGAGTCGTACCGAGTATCCCTTCGCTGGTGATCGGCTAAAAGAGACAGCTCAGCAGCCAAGAGTCACTGCACATCCAGAGGCTCACTCGGGCCTGCCACGGGAAAGCAGCTAATGAAGGTGTAGTGCGGATAATCAACCGAATACAAAATGCTGAAAGCGTTAGAGTTTCGATCCTCGAGCTGTGTGTTTTTCAGATGCCCGCTACAGAACTGCGCGTGGCTTCAACTACTCACTGCAAAGAAGTTTCTCTGGTCCTTAGGATGCGCGGAGGCTGCAGCCTCGTGCAGCGACTCGAAGCCCCCGTTCGGGGTGTCAGGCCCCCCAGCTATCGATGCAAAAAAATGGCCTGCCACCCATGAGCAGCTGATTGTAGATGGCCTGGGGCATCGATGTTCCTCTACTTCAGAACTCGAAGAATTTGGCAAACCACTTCAGGGCCTTCTGAACCCCTCAGCAGCACCAATCAACATCTAATAACATCTAAAATCTGCTCTTCCAAACGACTAAACACAGGGGGAGCGCACTAGGTGCCAAATTCGAAGTGGCACGAAGCCGAAAAGGAACAAAAGCGATCACATCTCCAAAATGAGTGTGGCTACTAGTAAGGCACTTGCTCCTAGAAGCGAGGCACTTGTTACTAGAAGCGATGCACTTGTTCCTAGTAGCTTCTTGTTACTACTAGTAAGGCACTTGTTCCTAGTTTTTATCTTTTGCTTGTTCGGTCTTCAGGGCATTCGTCATCAATCAAGAACTATCTTACAGGCATGTCCGCCGTCTCTGCACCGAATGTGTCTGAGTGATACCTTCTGAGCAGCACGTGGATCTCATACGGAATAAGCCCAGTTATCCTCGGTAATCACGACCACAAATAGAAGGACTGGTCCATCGTCTATATGTCCTCTCACACGGGGCAATAGATAGATTGGACAACTGAAAAGCGCATATATATATATATATATACAATTATATGCATACGTAATCACGATTTCTTATGACACGTGTGTTTAAGTCTTCCAATTGTTCAAATCTGTGGTTCAGAAGGGAGCCGAGAGTTGGTGTCCCACAGAACCTGCGGCTCCAAATGAGGGTTTGGTCTTCCATAGTCAGGACTGGTTAACTGATGTTAACTGGTTGAAAGGCGGTCTCTCCTCTTCTTTTGGCGAAGGAGTATTGTACGTATCAAGGCCGTATGAGTCTGGAGAAGCATTAGATATTTCATCGTTTTGGTGTTTGTGTTTTTGATGCTGCTTTTTTTTCATGTGATGTCAGTGCTGTGGATACGTATGTTGGACGCTATTGGTGCGCTTGGGGTGTGGTGACTACTAACGGTCGTTGTGAACATGTGGTTCCCGCGGATTGAATGGCTTCACGTTCGTACTCGGTCGCCATGTCCTCGAGAAAGAACACACATGTATGGAAAGAAAGACACTTGTTTTGGGAGCACCAATGGTGCAAACATTTACGGCCAGTTATCTGAGCAACCAACCTTGTTTCAGTCCAGTCTGAGAGCATCAAACGTCGTCTGATGGTCACATATTGACATTAAAACCCCAACACTTGTCCACCTTACATGCAAATATCTGAGGAGATGACATCAAACCTTGTGGGCTACTAAGCTGTTGTGATTGTGCAGGCCTCTCTTTGCCTGGCATAGGTGATGTCATCCACTCCTGCCTGGCATCGCCGCCCTTTCAGCCAGTGGAGATTGGGCAGGTGACCAGAAAGCCAACAAACCCACAAAGGGTGGTCAACCCTTTAACAGCCAAGGTGATAAGAAAAGGAGGTTGATGGACACCATAATATGTCGTAGGGTCGCCTAGCATATGCTGAAATAGCCTAGCAATGTCGTTCTAAGCTGCACTACTATGGGGCCAGGTGCCTAGGCAAATGAACACGTTCACCCGGTTCACCCTGAACAAGTAACAATTTGACAGATATGACATGACATGAAATGTGGTGGGCCTCTTTGTTGGGGAAACTGGAAATCCTGGTCAAATAACACTTTGCAGTGAGGGTTCTATTCGTTTCTGATACCCATGATACCAACCTCCGTCAACTTCTCAACCGCTACAACTCGCAGCTGGGATCTAACCCCTTGAGGGGTCGTTGCACCTACCACACCCAAAACAAATCTCCTGGCCTTGGGCCCGAGGTTGGAAATTGAACGGAAAAATACAAAAAACGCATTTGATTAATGTATAAGATATATAGTTGGTTGTCTCTGCCCAGTTCTCCCCATTTAGAGCCTTTTTGTTGATCGTCCTTTGGGGTGGAAAACATCTATTTCACAGTCAGCCGGTCTTCTTTTCACACCCAGCCTCAGCCGCTGCTTTCTCTTGTGCGGCAAGGACTTCCTTGTGCGAACTCACTCCGAGACGTCCCAGCCCCGCTGATGAGATCTCAGCGAGGGTCCCCGGTTGGTCACGACGCTCAGCAGATTCAAGAGATAGAGGGATGGTCTTTGAATCAATGGATCTGCGATGCTCGAAATACAAGCGGCATTTCAGGATGGTCAACAAGAACACATACTGTGTGCGGAATTAGTGCCCAAGGTGGTGGGACCTAAAGTGGTGGGACACTCAATGAAGGAAAAAATAACTGTTAAAGACAATCCGGGATGGATCCTCAAAATCTCGTCAACACCGCATGGTGGATCCTCGAAAGCAATAAGCAATTACATACATTAATCATATTATATAGTTTTTGTATAGTTGGTACCGCTTTCTGCACGGCCAGTGTGAATCTTCTGCAAATCGTGGCAACACGGCCAGATCGATGTCGGAAACCATTGGCTCCATGTCCTCGGTGCTCCTATAGGCCTGCCTTTTTTGGCTCTTGTACTGGAGCCCCATACAGCTCTTCCTGCATGCGCTTCAAGAACTATGACGAGCTCAGATTTGCAAGTTGAGTGGGCAGCTGGAGGCATCTTCTGTCTGGCAACAGTGCCGCGTGAAAGGCAAGTGCTGTCAGGTCGGCACCTTGAAACGCCATGCGCACCACCTGACACGTCTCGTGACTCTCGTGGCGTGGCCCGGACCATGAGCGGTCCGTCCGTGCACCGGCTCTGCGGGAACTGGGCTTGGAACCCAAGATCCCCGTCTGCCAAACAATTCTTCCTGAAACACAAAGACATGTGGTTTGTATGTGATCTGTATACAACTTTTCTGACATGCCATGTCTGATCAAGGCGCAGGGCCAAATCATTGCTGTATGTTGTATGGTTTGGGTACGGTGTCGAGACGACTAAACCAATTGAACTCGTATTTTAGACTACCTCCGGAAGGTTCTCGCCGGCCCGCCCGATACAACGGAGCAAACATACAGAGTACAGCAAATATAGTGTGGAGACTGAGCTGTGTGGAGCAAATATACGGTGGTGTGCTTGGTGGTGTGCTTGGTGGTGTGGCTCCCGGCCCCCCCACCAACGGTTTTTGGGGGTCACGTGCACGTGGACGAACCTTTATCTGGCGTACGTGCAATGCGCTCGGACTCGGCGGAACGGGGTCTCCTTGGTTGGGGCTCCACGGAACCCTTCGTCTCGGTGGCAGGCCCACCGGAATTGGCTCAATCCTTTGCTCCTTGGGGAGTATTCTCAGGGAGTGGCTCCGCAACCGAGAATTTCATGGGGCTACTCTTCAGAGGGATGGAACGGGTCTACCTCCGGGGCCGATTGCTCTGGCAGGGCCACCAGAGAATATTCAAAAAAATGCGCTACCGTATGTTGCAGCTTTCTCCACTTGTTCGCCACTTTGGATCCCGCCATTGAAAACAAGTATTGGAAGCCCGGCTCCTCCAGCGATCAGCAGTTCCTCTCCAGTGACGTTCCCAGTGACGTATACGGAACTCGGGTGGTGGAATAGTTTTTGATCCACAAATCCCCCACCGAGCTGCCATCAAAGAGGCGCCTGAGAGCGAGTTGCAAAAACAGCAATGGGGTTTGCAAAATCACCTCTTCAAATCCCTTTGACATGCAGCGACCCTGATTTTGCCATCAAAACCATGCTCTGGCCACTGCCATGGGAACCCTTGTTGGGGGAGGGCACCGAAGCAACTAATAGTATCAGGGCCCCTGCCACGTCCACGAGCAACTAATAGTATCTATGTTCCGGTTCCTTGACCATATAAGGTAATGATGTCCAACATCCACTTAAATCAGCACCCACTGGGGGTGATGGAGGAGGAACCTCTTGAATCGGGAACGATGGAATACAATACGAATCAAATCTAATTAAGGAAAAATGGTGGAAGCTTCCAACACTGATCCTCACAACACACAAAGACACACAAATCAACTAGTGGTACGTAGAAACAGCAAGAGCCAGTGCTGTCAGTGCTCTCAGGAACCCCACTGTTACCATCAAAGCAGCATGGCATTATACGCAGGATACCGATACCGAAGGTTTGGGCTCGCCAGCACAAACATGCCCCATTTGGGAGTCGTTTTTGGATGCCGTAGCAAAAGGCTCAAGAGCCCACAAGGTGGTTAAGATTGAGATGGATCAGCAATAGATCTTTCTCTATAACCTCTTGTAGAATTGAATACTCTAGACTACTGGCCCTCCGGAACTCCAGGGCACCGGGCCAGCTGTTCCTGCCGATGTCTCGGGCATCAAACGGGTCTTGGAACTGTCCTGCATCGTGAGGTTGTGAGGTCAAGGGCCAGTCAAGGGATCACTCCAGCATATCGACTAATACCTAATCATGCATCAACAAGCCGCGGTGCATCATGCGAAAGGGATAGTGAACCCGAGGTCTCCTCTATATGATAAAACATAGGATTTACTTATTCGACCTGGTACGGGTCATATCAGGCAAAAGATTGCACAAAATAAGTATTGAAGTATTAGCCTGCCTTGGAACTTGCGGCATTTTTGGCTAGCTTTAGCTTGCCATGTGTGCAAGTGCATGCCCCTCGGTCTGTGAATCTATATTACTGGTATTAATGACAATGAGGACAGCCCAAAATAGGGACTTCTGCGGTGGTATTCTAGGGTCGGATACCTAAGGCCGCACTGGATGATAAAGGGGTTCAGGGCTGAGGGCCATGCAAGTCAAGCAAGCTGAACCTGTCAGTCTCAAATGTTGCATAGTTCAAAAATGTAAATCCCCAATCCCCGGCACATGTTGAATGCGCGTGTCTTCCATGAAATTCCCCATTGTTTGCCAGTTCCGGAACTCATTTCAATCTGTTTGGAGATCCCTTGTCGATCTTCACCTCGAAAACCCAGCTCCACCAGGCGCAAACGCAACGGTGCTCTTCTTTGTTTCGCAGTACCGGTACTCTTCGTGGACGTGGCAAGTGCGCCACCTCGAAAAAACTCTGCAAGCAAATGCTAGGTATACCTACAATTACCTACAGAGCTTGAAACTCACTCTTGGTAGGTACTTGAACTGAGAAGACCGAAAATACCGCTCGACCGCTGGGGGCAGTTCAACGACAACAAATGCTAGAAGCCTAGTCTCCAAAGGTATAATGGTTGAATCCATTTTTCTCAACTGACTCGTTGGTAGTTTGGATCGTTGCAAAGTGTTGGTCATTGCTTAGGTCTGATCGGTGCATCGACAGCGATGCTCCAAAGCATCTCGGGTCGCCGGAGGATTTATTGAGGCGGGTCGCCGGGACGCCATAGAGGTCGACTGGGTCGGTGGGTCGTGGCGGGAGAAGGGTTGGAATAGGCCTACGAAGTACATCTAAGTACCATATCTGTGCCTTGTACTAATCTCACCCTCGAAGAGCAGTTACATTGCTCTTCTGAAGATCAAAGGGTTAGTCACTTAGTAATTGTTGGTGGAGATTGGGGGGATACAGCCTTCGTCATTTTGGGAGGACCCAAAATGGCACGTTCCCGAGTGATGAAGGCCCAAACCACCTGAGAGGATGAGCAATGGGCCTCTACAGAAAAGAAAAGAATGTGTTGTATACCATGGTATTTCCGGCTGGGTCCCTGGTCTTTGCCTTTTGTTTCAGTTATGCTCATTTCTTCACAAGGGAGCGATCTCCATCTTCGCATCCCATGTCGGACGATTGACCCAGACCCACATGGCCGCATCTCGCCACTGGACGCGCCTTGGCACGAAGAGCCAGCAGCACTGCCAGGTAGGGCGAGCAATCTTTGGGGTCCTTGCAGGGTCCGCAGAACTGCAAACCCACTCAGTGACACATGGAGACAGTCATGGAGTTGTTCTGGAACGATGACCGACCAAAGAATTCCAGTTGACCAAAATTGAAATTGTCCTGTGAATTGCTTTCCACTTCCCACAGACTACATTGATGCCGACGAAGTCTTGAACGCCCTTCCAAGGGCAACACGGATGGACTACACCACCAGGACCCACAGCAATAATGGTAGAAACCCACGTGAATGCAATAACAATAACAATCACTTCTTTTCGCAGGAAAAAAAAGAAACTCCTGCTGGCATACTCCAACAAACCAAGTGATTGCAGCGTGGTCCTGGGGTCCCTGGAAGTTGCTGGGTGAACCACCGTGTTTTCTTTTCGCAAACGAAACGCGTGGCGATTTGTGTCTCTTGATGGAAAAGAAAGTTGAGATTAACCAGTATCCCATGGAATTGCAGAATTCGGATTAAAGTCCTGCCGTGAGCTACACGCGATACCCAAACATACGCAAACATACTAGCCACCACCCCATCCTCACTACCCCTGAAACACGCATGAAATCACCAACAGCTGGACTTCACCAACAGATTCACCTCCACCCACCCTGCCCTGTTTCGACGCCCGGCACCTGTTCCAACGCGAAGTAGTCGAACCAGCAGCGCAGCTCTTGCGCCTTCGCCTGCATGGCCAAGACCTTCGGGCGCTCAAAGTCCCAAAGGCCTAAGGGTGAAGTCTTCAGAAAACAGTGATGGGAGCAGATAGGGATGCGAAGGATTGGTATGGATTTGTAAAATTCTCGAATGCACAAGGTCACAAAGGTAGGACATGAACCGGAAACTGCGGGCCGTGAGACATGCCATCGCAAAGCATCTGCCATGTGATGCTTAATCGATTTGGATGTCTTGTCTCTAGCCACACCGAGCCTCAGCAAGTGTAAAAGGGTCTCACAGACCAAAACTCTAATTCCCAAAAGGATTTTTAGTCTTGTCACCCCAGAGTCGGGCCGTACAATGAGCGGGCTGAACCGGTCTCATGTGCGGTCTGCACCAGTGCGTTGAAGAACATGCGCCGATGATTCGCCGATGGGAAGAGCTTTCGGGGACCAGGCTGTTCAATAGGTGGCTGGTGGGAACGGAAAATTCAAGTAATTACCTACTGTCTGGAGAATCAGCATCAAACACCTGCAAACATGCAACAAAAACGGCATCCCTCTAGCTATATGGTTTCGAAAACAGGAAGTAGGGATTTGACACACAAAACACTGACACACACACACACACACAACCCAGCGCCAGCGCGCCTGCGTGCCCCAGCCCAGACCAACAGCGCATCCCCCCAACAGTCCAAGGAACCCTTTAAGTAGTTGTAGAGACTCAGGTCCTTGAGCGATGCAAAGGACACTGGTGTCTGTAGTAGTGTGGTTCCAGCTGGTTTGAAGAATTGCTACACTGTGACCAGGAACTGACCAGAGGGCAACAAGTGGATATAAAACGATATAAACCTACAGTAATAATTTTGGGGTTGGATTAGCGTAAGTAGGTTTGCATTTAACCCTTAAAGGGAATAGATTCTCGAAACATGTCAAGACACCCCCCCCACCTTACCCGGTAAATAGACGATTTACAGTGTTGGCCAAGCAGCTGCATATTCCATGGGCCAGGCTATACTGAAGTCCTTGGGCCAAGACTTTTAGCGCATGGACGTGGTGACATTCGACTGCTGGACTGCTGACAGAAAAGAACACTGGTACCACCTGGAACCACTATAATTGCCGTGGTCTTCAGCAAATCACAGCAGGATGGTTGTTTGTTTGTTTTTTCAAAATTCCAATCCATGATATTGATAGGAGTGGCTGAGATTGGCTGGACGGGGGTTCGGACATGCTTTCTCGCTTTGTTACCCACTGTCGTCATCATATTCTTCTGAGCACACGACACGCTAAGTGCGCTCATTCTTTGTGCTTATTATTGTATCCCATGCGGCTCGAGTGACGGTATGTACTGCGTGTTGGAAAGATGCTTGAGGGTTGAGGTGGATGATGCTGCCATCTGAACTGTTGTGCAGGGTTGGTTTTTGGTAGGACGATTCCCTGAAACAAGTTGAAAAGTATCGGTTCTGAGTCTGAGCGATACTCCTCCTTGTCCTTGTGTGATTACATCTGCTTTTGGTCCGACAGGCACTGACCCAATATGCTTACGACTAGGAAGTCGGAAACAAGGGGCCTTTGACCACACACGAAGATACTCATGGGGCTCATGGGTCCATCCAAAATGCGTCCATGGGCACTGGTCGTCCATGGTCCATGCGACTGACCATGCGACTGACCAAGAGGAAAGTTTTACTAGTAGCGTCCTTGCTCCTAGTAGCGATGCCAGGAGCCCCTAGTAGCTTCCTTGCTCCTAGTAGTAAGGCCAGGAGCCCCCAATCTTAAAACTGCAGTTGGAGTGATTGTCTTTTGTTTGCCAGTCCTGGTGAAGGGTGGTTAGCAATCTTGGATTTCCAAAAGACCTGCAAAGCGTTACTCTAGAAATAAGCGCGTTCGACTCAGACAAAGCAGGATGGACCACTGAGGATTATAAGGTAAATTCTTCAAACCAATGCCTGTCCAACCACCCTTTTCAACTGAAACTGTACCTTCAAAGATCATGCGTAACTAGAGAAAGACCGTCCTACCATGACCACCCACCACCCAACAGTCACCTCTTCCGTCGGGTCCAATGGGTCCGAATGGTACATTCGCACTAAGCTGGACGTTTGTTGTGGACCTTTGTCGGACGAATTGTGTCTAAGTCTTGTTCCTTCTCATCAATCTGATCTGTGACATTGTCCCAGCTTCGTACCGAATCATGAACGATCAATCATCCGTGTAGGCTCTGACCTTCACAAATGTCCTTTGGTCCCGCTTCGTTTAGGCACCGTCCAATTCACCAAGCCATCAAAGGGCAGGCCTCGAGAGTTCTTTGCGCATCGTTCATGTGGCCAGTTCTGGGTCTCCGGAACCAAACCAAACGAACTGGGTGACTGGTCGCCTCCTTCAACTTGGAAAACCCCAAAGGATGGAGCCAAGCATCGGTTGGTGGGAATCCCTACCTGCTTCTTGGGGATGTTCTTTCTTTCTGAGACTGCTGTACCAAACCGAAGTCTGTCCAATGGTCTCCACGAGCACTGAGGATACATAGTTGGTTGTGTCAATGTGAGTTACACATTTTGTGTCTCGGACTCGGAGTAGGTCACGACAGCTTCCGACATGTTCAAGCAAACTCTCCAAACTGGACTGGACTCAAAACCCCACAAAACTGGCTATAGCCTAACGACAGGGACTGTTGATGAGCTCTGACATACCAGCTTTGACAGTTGAAGGTGTGCACTAAGTTGAAGTGGGACAACAAAAATGCATGGTCCACATGTCTCTATCTATTGGAAACGGTGAAGCCGTTCGGTACTTCTATGGCTTCTGTGGGGATTGGTCTTCTAGGAGCTCTTGCCATACAGTCGGTCATAGAAAAATATA